AGAATTTCCACACTGTTCTCCAAAGTGGTTGTACTAGTTTGCATTCCCACCAACAGTGTAAGAGGGTTCCCTTTTCTCCACACCCTCTCCAGCATTTATTGTTTGTAGATTTTTGGAAAGCAGCCATTCTGACCGGCATAACATGGTACCTCATTGTGGTTTTGACTTGCATTTCTCTGACAGTGAGTGATGTTGAGCATCTTTTCATATGTTTGTGAGACATTTGTATGTCTTCTTTGAAGAAATGTGTGTTTAAATCTTTGGCCCATTTTTTGACTGGGTCACTTATTTTCCTGGAATTGAGCTGCAGGAGTTGCTTGTATATTTTTGAGATTAATTCTTTGTCAGTTGCTTCATTTGCTATTATTTCCTCCCATTCGAAGGATGTCTTTTCACCTTGCTTATAATTTCATTCATTGTGCAAAAGCTTCTAAGTTTAATTAGGTCCCATTTGTTTATTTTTGCTTTTATTTCCATTACTCTGGGATGTGGATCATGGAGGATCCTGCTGTGATTTATGTCAGAGAGTGTTTTGCCTATGTTCTCCTCTAGGAGTTTTATAGTTTCTGGTCTTACATTTAGATCTTTAATCCATTTTGAGTTTATTTTTGTGTATGGTGTTAGAAAGTGTTCTAGTTTCATTCTTTTACAGGTGGTTGACCAGTTTTCCCAGCACCACTTGTTAAAGAGGTTGTCTTTTTTCCATTGTATATCCTTGCCTCCTTTGTCGAAGATAAGGTGACCATAGGTTCGTGGATTTATCTCTGGGCTTTCTATTCTGTTCCATTGATCTATATTTCTGTCTTTGTGCCAGTACCATACTGTCTTGATGACTGTGGCTTTGTAGTATAGTCTGAAGTCAGGCAGGTTGATTCCTCCAGTTCCATTCTTCTTTCTCAAGATTACTTTGGCTATTCGAGGTTTTTTGTATTTCCATACAAATTGTGAAATTATTTGTTCTAGTTCTGTGAAAAATACCGTTGGTAGCTTGATAGGGATTGCATTGAATCTATAGATTGCTTTGGGTAGTATAGCCATTTTGACAATATTGATTCTTCCAATCCATGAACACGGTATATTTCTCCATCTGTTTGTGTCCTCTTTGATTTCTTTCATCAGTGTTTTATAGTTTTCTATGTATAGGTCTTTTGTTTCTTTAGGTAGATATACTCCTAAGTATTTTATTCTTTTTGTTGCAATGGTGAATGGTATTGTTTCCTTAATTTCTCTTTCTGTTTTCTCATTGTTAGTGTATAGGAATGCAAGAGATTTCTGTGTGTTAATTTTATATCCTGCAACTTTACTGTATTCGTTGATTAGCTCTAGTAATTTTCTGGTAGAGTCTTTAGGGTTTTCTATGTAGAGGATCATGTCATCTGCAAACAGTGAGAGTTTTACTTTTTCTTTTCCAATCTGGATTCCTTTTATTTCTTTTACTGCTCTGATTGCTCTGGCCAAAATTTCCAAACTATGTTGAATAGTAGTGATGAGAGGGACACCTTTGTCTTGTTCCTGACTTTAGGGGAATTGCTTTCATTTTTTCACTGTTGAGGATAATGTTTGCTATGAGTTTGTCATATATAGCTTTTATTATGTTGAGGTATGTTCCTTCTATCGCTGCTTTCTGGAGGCTTTTTATTATAAATGGATGTTGAATTTTGTCTGCAAGCTTTTTCTGTCTACAGGAAAAGCCTGTCTACAGGCTTTTTCTGCATGTATTGAGATAAAAGTATGGTTTTCATCTTTCCATTTGTTCATGTGGTATATCACATTGATTTGTGGATATTGAAGAATCCTTGCATTCCTGGGATAAAGCCCACTTGGTCATGGTGTATGATCTTTTTAACATGTTGTTGGATTCTGTTTGCTAGAATTTTGTTAAGGATTTTTGCATCTACGTTCATCAATGATATTGGCCTGTAGTTTTCTTTTTTTTGTGGCATCTTTGCCTGGCTTTGGTATTAGGGTGATAGAACCCTCATAGAATGAGTTTGGAAGTTAAACTTCCTCTGCAATTTTCTGGAAGAGTTTGGGTAGGATAGGTGTTAGCTCTTCTCTAAATTTTTGGTAGAATTCAGCTGTGAATCCATCTGGTCCTGGGCTTTTGTTTGCTGTAAGATTTCTGATTGCAGTTTCAGTTTCTGTGCTTGTGATGAGTCTGTTAAGATCTTCTATTTCATCCTGGTTCACTTTTGGAAAGTTATACCTTTCTAAGTATTTGTCCATTTCTTCCAGGTTGTTCATTTTTTTTGGCATTGTTGCTTATAATAGTGTCTTATGATCCTTTGTATTTCTGTGTTGTCTGTTGTGATTTCTCCATTTTCATTTCAAATTTTATTGATTTGATTCTTCTCCCTTTGTTTCTTGATGAGTCTGGCTAATGGTTTGTCAATTTTATTTATCTTTTCGAAGAACCAGCTTTTAGTTTTGTTGATTATTCTATGGTCTCTTTTGCTTCTTTTGCATTTATTTCTGCCCTAACTTTTAAGATTTCTTTCCTTCTTCTAACCCTGGGGTTCTTCACTTCTTCCTTTTCTAGTTGTTTTAGGTATAGAGTTAGGTTATTTATTTGACTTTTTTCTTGTTTCTTGAGGTAAGCCAGTATTGCTATGAACCTTCCCCTTAGCACTGCTTTTACAGTGTCCCATAGGTTTGGGGTTGTTGTTTTTTCATTTTCATTGGTTTCTATGCAGTGTTTATTTTAAGGTACCTTACAAGGAGTCCAGGGAAGCTAATCCTCAAAGCACCTAAATGACACAGCACACTTGAAGGCACATAGTGAAATTACAAGGGGGAGACAGAGGGGGGCCTGGAGTTGTGCTTTTATTGCCATGGAGGGTGGAGGGTGGGGGCCTAGGATTTGGGCGTGATCACTCTTTTTTGGTGAATTGAAAACATAAGAGCCAGAATTTAAAGTATGGGAAGAGATAAGAACAAGCAGCATAAGTGGTCAGTCATTGAAATCATTGAAGATTGCTAAAACAAAGGAGCCTCGGGAGGGGGAGGTGGCCTCTTTATCTAGTCCCCTTCTCCCCTGACCAGCAATGTGTTAACTGTATTTGAAGTGGGTGTCTCTTTGAAATGAATTCTTGGACAATTAAAGCTTAAGTCAGGCACTGAAAGTGAAAGTGGCTCAGTCATGTCAGACTCTGCTTCCCCTGGACTATTCAGTCCATGGAATTCTTTAGGCCAGAATACTGGATTGGGTAGCCTTTCCCTTCTCCAGGGGATCTTCCCAACCCAGGGATCAAACCCAGGTGTCCCACATTGCAGGCCGATTCTTTACCAGCTGAGTTACAAGGGAAGCCCAAGTCAGGCATTAGCATTATATACATATATTTTTTTTAAGCTGTCAGGGATTATACTATCGTTAAGTAATTTGCTCATAGTTTCTAATAATCCTCTAAATGCAGATGGTGTACATGTTACAAAATTCAAGTCCTGTGTTCACTGCTCAAAAACTAATACTCCAGAGGCAGCTGCTTATAGAATGGAAATGTAGCTTTAATCAGAAGATTGACAATCTTGGGAGAAAGTGTATCATTGCATCCCCACAACCTGCTTCCAAGATTCTGTTCAGCCATGGCAGTTTGGTTTTTGTTGTTTTTTTTTTTTTTTTTAATTGGACTATAGCCACTTGACAGACTTCCCTGGTGGCTCAGGTGGTAAAGAATATGCCTGTAATGTAAAAGACCTTGGTTCAATCCCTGGATCAGGAAGATATCCTGGAGAAGGAAATGGCGGTCCACTATAGTATTCTTGTGTACAGAATTCCATGGAAAGAGGACCATGGCAGGCTACAGTCCGCAGGGTCGCAAAGAATCAGACATGACTGAGCGACTAACATACACAGACGTAGCCAGTTAACAATCTTGTAAAAGTTTCAGTGAAGAACAAAGAACAAACAAACTCAGCCATGTCCATTCTCCCCAACTCCCCTCCCACCCAGGCTGCCACATAACATTGGGAAGAGGTCACTGTGCTATACAGTGGATTCTTGGTTACCCATTTAAAATATAGCAGTGTGCACATGTCCCTCCCAAATTCCCTGACTATCCTTTCCCCTCATCCTTCCCCTCTGGCAATCATAAATTCATTCTCTAAGGCTATGAGTCTGTATCTGATTTGTAAATAAGTTCATTTGTATCATTTCTTTTTAGATTCCACATATAAGAGATGTCATATTTCTCCTTCTCTTTCAGACTTACTTCACTCAGTATGACAATCTTCAGATCCATCCTTGGTGTTGCAAATGGCATTTTATCATTCTTTTTTAAATTCAGCAATAGTAGTTCTTTATGTGGAGTCTGTTGCTCAGTTTCACAACAAAAACCAGATAGTTGGAACATCAAAGAATTACTATTACTTAAAGAAAAGCAGATATCTCAATTTAGTGAATTTAACACTTTTTCTATAGACGGCAAGGTGCAAGAGTTGGGGCTTATTGAAATCACTCCTTTTACATGCACCTTAGCTCTCCAGGGCCAGTATCCTTCTCTTTCCCATCCTGAGTCCCCTCAGGTGCACTTTTGTGCATGGCTGCCGGGTGAGGGCTTGACTGTGGATGGCTTATTAGCTCCCTCCTGAGTTCCCTCAGTCTCACAGTCAAGGGTGTTGGTTGTGGTTGATGGCTTGATTGCCCTAGCATCCTTTGTTTGCTGATATGGTAAACAACATTTTTCATCCATAATAATAAAAAACATATATACTACATAAAAATATATAGTATATCTGTATGTCATTGAAAAAGACCCTGATGCTAGGACAGATTGAAAGCAAAAGGAGAAAGAGGCAGCAGAGTATGAGATGGTTAGGTAGAAATCACTGACTCAATGGACATGAATTTGATCAAACTCCACGGGTTAGTGAAGTACTGGGAAGCCTGACATGAAACAGTCCATGGGGTTGCAAAGAGTTGGACATGACTTACCAACTGAACAGCATGGTGTTATAGCCATCAAAACAATCATACTTACTAATCTAACTCCCACAATTCATAGAAGTGTCACTGGTGGTGCAGGCGCCACGCTACAGGAATATCACCTTGATTCAGAATCGGACAGAGATGATGCTGACCTGGGATACAGTGCATGATTCTGGTGACTCAGGTAATGTCTGAGACAGTGGGTAAGTCTTCACTCTGTGTCAAGATGACCAAGGATATGACAAATGGAATATTGAAGTTTAAAGGGAAGTGTGGGCTATCATGGGTCAAAAGGAAACAGTTCATCTGTAGAAGATGTCCTTTCGGGTACTGCAAGATGTCAACCTTAGCCTTGTCCTGCAGGTCTTGCTGTGGTGGGCCTCCTTTCCACTCCATGGATGCACAGATTCCTGGCTGAAGCCCCTCTGGTCCTGGATGCTGAGGAACCGACAACTCTACGTGAGACACACAGGGGTTTGCTGCAGGAAACCTCCCACATCCTGCTGTCAGATGTCATATCTGCCTTTATCACCAAGGACACTGAGAACCTCAGGTTCCCAGTCACCTTTGTCTTCCAACATGTGAGTCCAGGTGGGATGGAGTGGTGGGTGTGGAACAGGCCTGAGTCCTGGGCCCAGCCTCGGGCTTCAGCGGGCTCTGCCATGGGTGCATAAACTGTTTAGGAAAGCCCTTCACAAGCCAGCTTTGGCTCAGCATTTCTGAGCAACAGAACCCTGAACTCACACCAACTTCCTCTTCCTGTTAACACAGTCAGTGACCCCTGGGCCAAGAAAGAAGGTGTACTGTGTTTACTGGGAGCGTGGCCAGAATGGAAGTGGTCATTGGGACACCAGAGGCTGCTGGGTGACCAGCACCAGAGACAGCAGCACCACCTGCCAGTGCACCCACCTCAGCATCTTTGCCGTCCTCATGGCCCACTACAGTGTCCAGGTGAGAACCTCAGAGAGGCAACATTCAAGGGCTACTGCTGTGTAACAAATTCCCACACACAGCAGCTTTAGAAACATAAGTTTATTATTATCTCACTGTTTCTTCAAGCTAGCAAATAGTCGTGGTTCAGATGAGCTTTCTGTTCAGCTTCCTACAAGTCTTACAAACCTTTCCTCAGAAAATTGGGGTTGTCCACTAACTCCCTGATTTCTGGCAGAAATCAGTTCTTGGTGTTAGTAGGATTGAGGTAGTGTTTTCTTTATCTCTAGCAGCAGAGAACCAGGCTCAGTTTCCATGGTTGCCTGCATTCCCTCTCATATGTTGCTGTTGTTCAGTTGCTAAGTCATGTTCCCAGCCTTGCAATCCATATACTACAGCACAACAGGCTCCCCTGTCCTTCACTATCTCCCATATTTTGCTCAGATTCATATCCACTGAGGCAGTGATGCCACCCAACCATCTCATTCTCTGCTGTCCTGTTCTTCTTTCACCTTCATTCTTTCCCTGCAACAGGGCCTTCCCCAATGAGTGGACTCTGCATATCAGGGGCCAAAGTATTGGAGCTTCAGCATCAGTCCATCCAATGAATATTCAGGGTTGATTTCCTTTAGGACTGACTGGTTTGAACTCCTTGCTGTCCAAGGGACTCTCAAAGGTCTTCTACAGCACCACAATTCAAAAACATCAATTCTTCGGCACTCAGCCTTCTTTCTGGTCCTGGTTTTCCTATGGGACCTCTCACAGTGCACCAGTGAATCTGTCTGGAGATCAGCAGGAGAAACTCCCTCATGACAGAACTCTCTCATATTCTGAATTGTTTTCTCAAAGAAGAGCCTACCTCTTCTGAGGGCTCTTCTGGTTACAACAGGTCCAACCAGGATAAACACTCTAAGTCAGTTGATGGAGGACTTGAATTTCACCTGCAACACTCTCTTCACAGCACCACCTGGGTTGGCTTTTGACTGAACATCTGGCAGAAGATGGGAATGAGGGTGTGGTTGCCAAATTAAAATTCTGTGTACCCCAGGGGTCTTTACAACAGGGTGCTGAGGGACTCCAGAAAATATGAATTTTATTCTACCATCATTGCCAAAATACAGTAGATTTCCTCCATCGGGGTTTCAGTTCTAATCTATAATCATTAGTTCCCTTCCAAGAATGGATATTTCAGGGGTGGGTGAGTGGCGTCCAAGGCAGGTGGTTAATACCTGGACAGAGAGCCTCAGGTACAGATCTGTCACACACCACCACATGGTGGGGATGGGCGGTGGTGCTCAGCATGAAGTTTCATACCTCTGTGGACTTATTGTGGTAACTGGGAGGCTGAGTCATGCTCAGAAGCCTACAGGAAAATAAACCCTCGTGAGTTCCAGAGTTTGTTCTTGACTAAAGAGTCTCCTGTCCCTCTGTCCTTCCAGGGACTGAATTAACCATTCAGATCCCATAAAAATCTAACATTCAGAACCTGGAGAAAGCTATCCACAAATATACCAACTCTATCTAGGTCTTCTCTTCCTGATTTTTCTATGTCTAAAAATAAAAATGGTGGAAGGGTCATTACTCAGAGCAGGAAAGCGTGACTGTGCCCTCCTCTCTGCTGGGTCCCAGGAGGAGGATCCCGCACTGACTGTGATCACCTACGTGGGACTCAGCCTCTCTCTGCTGTGCCTCCTCCTGGCGGCCCTCACCTTCCTGCTGTGCAAAGCCATCCAGAACACCAGCACCTCGCTCCACCTGCAGCTCTCGCTCTGTCTCTTCCTGGCCCACCTGCTCTTCCTCACAGCCATTGACAGAACTGAGAACAAGGTTCGTATACGTTTCCAAAATACTCCTGCCCTAGGGGATTCTGAGTTCATGGAGCCACACTGCTTTGGACACTTTAATAAAAGGACTTGGATTCCAGGTAAGTTTAAGTTGGTAAGTAACCAGTTTCACATTGACTGCCACAACTAGAAGACAAACACTCTGTTGACAACCCCTTCATATACATCAAAATTCTCCCTAGTGGCCAGTTATAGAAGTGCCGGGGTCATGCTCCACCCAGACAGTCCCTCCTGGTGACACCTTCCTCCTCCCCCAGGTGCTATGTGCCATCATCGCAGGTGCCTTACACTATCTCTACCTGGCCTCCTTCACCTGGATGCTGCTGGTGGGTCTGCACCTCTTCCTCTCTGCACGCAACCTGACAGTGGTCAACTACTCCAGTATCAACAGGTTCATGAAGAAGGCCATGTTCCCTGTGGGCTATGGAGTCCCGGCTGTGATTGTGGCCATTTCTGCAGCATCCAGGCCTTATCTTTATGGGACCCCCACCAGGTAAATTAAATTCCAACTGTTCTTATCTCTCCAGCACATTCATGTGTTGTAGAACAAATGTAGTATTTGATTATGACAGATCATAATATACAGACACTAAGTAATAATCCCTAGGTCATCTTTGGTGGAGGATAATAATTAAGGAGAATGCCTTCAGCCTCTGTTCGTGAAATAAAACAGAGGAAATCAAAGGAAGTGCTTAGGGCATCATTTAGAAAAATATAACCTGCTTTTTTATCCTAAATCTATAGGATGTTTCAATCTTTCATTTGAAATAGTAGAACTGATATAAATAATTAAAATAATAGACTGTATCATAATTTAGAATTTACAAGTTGCTTACTTTGTGCTAATGCATTTTTCTAACCATTTTAATGTATGGTAATTCAATTAATCCTCATACCAATACTATGAGGTAGACACTGTAATTCACCCCTATTTACAGATAAGAAAACTGAGGCACAAATAGTTTAAGTAAACGTGGAAATGTGCACAATTTAATTCAATTTAGTAGGTAGCCAAGCTTAATTCATATTCAGAGTCAAGCTTCTTAGTTTACACTTTTATTTTCAGCTTTTAATACTAGACAATGTTTTTGCATTTTTATTGACATATACTACATATACTGTAGGGCTTCTCTTGTGACTCAGCTAGTAAAGAATCTGCCTGAGACGTGGGAGACCTGGGTTTGATCCCTGAGTTGGGAAGAAACCCTGGAGAAGGGAAAGGCTACCACTCCAGTATTCTGGCCAGGAGAATTCCATGGATTGAATAGTCCAGGGGGTCACAAAGAGTCAGACATGACTGAGCAACTTTCACTCACTCACTGCAAAATTCACCCTTTAAAAGTGTATGAATCAGTGGTTAGAAACCACTGATTAGTCACAGAGTAGTGCAGCTATCATCACAGTCTAATATTACAACATTTTCAACTCCCAAAAGAAACCTCATACGCAATAAAATTCACTTCTCATTCCTTCTACACACTCCTCTGCCCCAACCCCTGACAAATGCTTATCTACTTTCTGCCTCTATTGGATATTTCACATAAATGCAATTATGCATGTGGTCTCTCGTGGATGTTTTTACTTAGCCTGAAGTTTTCAAGGTTTATTCATGCCATAGTGTGTATCGCGACCTCACTTTTTGTTGTTGTTTTTGTTGCTATCATTTTGCAAATAATATTCCATTATATGGATATGCCACATTTTGTTTATCCATCTATCAGCTGATAGACATTTAAATTATTTACCTTTTTGTATTATGAATGAGATCACTACAAACATATATGTACAAGTTTCATTTTTCCTGGTTATATATCTACTCTACAAGTAGAATCCTGGGGTCAAATGGAAGATCTGGTTAGCCTTCTGACAAACCACCACTTGTTTTCCAAAGCTTCTGAACCATTTTACATCCCAACTGGCAATATATGAGGGTTTCAGTTTCTCCATGTTATTATCAATAGTTATATCTTATGTTTAAAAATTTAGCTATCCTAATGAGAATGGAGTTAAATTTCACTGTGGTTTCAATTTGCAATTTCTCCAATGACTACTGATGTTGAGCAACTTTTCACCTGCTTATTGATCATTTGCATATTTTCTTTAGAGAAACACATATTGAAATATTTTACCTTTTTTTGAAACTTTTTATTTTATTAATATTGGCATTGAAAATACCAGGTAATGCCTTTTCAGAAAAAAAATGGCATTGGATTATCATAAAGTCGTGATATGAAGCCAACTTTCAAGGAAGAAATGTCTATAGGGTCAAGATGATACTACAAAGCAGAACAAAGCAGGATGTTACTGCAGTCAACAGGCAAAAATTTAGTAACTTCTAGAATCCACTCCTTGGGCTCCTTAGAACTATGTACATATTTCTACACATACTTGAAGAAGATATCCATATATCCATCATCAACAGCAATACACTTTTTGTATCTACCTTATGGGATGCAGTCATCCATCTTAAGTGAAAATGATTTTCACTCTTTTCAGAATAAAAAGTCACATCCTCCCAAAGGGCATTATATTAATTACTGGCCTATATCAAGTATTTCATCATTTCTTTGGTTTATTTTTAAACTTAAATTTAGTTGATTTATGATGTTGTGTTAATTTCTTCTGCACAACAGACTGATTCAGTTATATATGAAAATATGCATATATATTCTTTCTAATATTCTTTTCAATTATGCATTTTTTTAAATTGGAGGATAATTGCTTTACAATGTTGTGTTGGTTATGCCATACAACAGTGTGAATCAGCCATAATCACATACATATATGCCGCCACCCCTCCTTGAGTCTCCCTCCCTTCCCCACCCCACCACTCCAGGCCATCACAGAGCACCAGGCTGGTCTCCCTGTGTTATTACAACAACTTCTTATCAGCTATTTGTTGTACACATGGTGGTGTATATATGTCAATGTCATTTTCTCATTTCATCCTACCTTATTCTTCCCTCACTGTATCCACAATTCCATTCTCCACGTCTGCATCTCCATTCCTTCCCTTCAAAAAACTCCATCAGTACTATTTTTCTAGATTCCATATAACCACATTACTATATGATATTGGTTTTCTCTTTTTGACTTACTTCACTCTGGGTAACAGCCTCTAGGTTCATCCACCTCACTACAACTAATTCAAATTCATTCTTTTTTACAGTTGAGTAAGATTCCATTGTACATATATATCCCAACTTCTTTATCTATTCATCTGTCAGTGGATATCTAGGTTGCTTCCATGTCCTGGCTATTGTAAATAGCACTGCAGTGAACACTGTGGTACATGTGTCTTTTTAAATTATGGTTTTCTCAGGGTAATTGCACAGTAGTGAGATTGCTGGGTCATATGTTTGTTTTATTTCCTAGATTTTTAAGGAATCTCCATACTATTCTCCATAGTGTCTGTATCAATTTACATTCCCACCAACAGTGCAAGGTTCCCTTTTCCCTACACCCTCTCCAGCATTTATTGTTTGTAGATTTTTGATGATGACTACTCTGACCAGTGTGAGCTGATACCTCATTGTACTATTGATTTGCATTTCTCTAATAATGAGTGATGTTGAGCATCTTTTCATGTGTTTATCAGCAACCTGCTTTATCACAGGATATTGAATAGAGTTCTCTGTGCTGCACAACAGGGCCTTGTTTATCCATTCCACATGTAATCACTTACATCTGCTAACCTGGACCTCCCACTGCATCCCTCCCCCAACCCCCTCCCCCTTGGCAACCACAAGTCTGGCCACTACGTCCACGAGTCTGTATCCATTTCATAGATAAGTGTATTTGTGTCATATTTTAGATTCCATAGATAAGTGATATCATATGGTATTTATCTTTCTCTGCCTGACTGACTTCTCTAGTGTGATAATTGCTAGTTGCAGCCATGTTGCTGCAAATGGCAGTTTCATTATATTTGTGGCAGAATAGTTTTCCACTGTGTATATGTACCACATCCTCTTAATCTGTCCCTCTCAGACACTTCCTTTTTTTTTTTTTTTTTTTTTTTTTTTTTTTTTTTTTTTTNATGTTGCTTAGAAGTAGTGAAAGTCTCAGTCGTGTCGATCTCTTTGCAACCCCATGGACTATAGAACCCATAGAATTTTCCAGGCCAGAATACTGGGGTGGGTAGTGGTTCACTTCTCCAGGGGGTCTCCCCAAACCAGGTATCAAACCCAGGTCCCCTGCATTGCAGGCATACTCTTTACCAGCTGAGCCACCAGAGATATTATAATTATTGTTTAAAACTAGCTGTTTTAATAATACATTGTACCATTCCAGTTATCAGATCCCTCTGCCTTCCAAGGTTTCCTCTTTTTAGTTTGCTGCTGTTTGTTTGATAGTTTAATGCCATTCCTAGACTAATTCTATGTATTGATAATTCCCTGCAGTGTGTGGCCTTTTAGTTCTAGTTTAGGTTCTTGTTTTTATTTTTAGTTCTAGGTGCCTATGAGCTCATATCTGGTTCAGTATAATCTAGTGGCCACCCAGTGTTCGATCATAAGATTTCCTTAAATGCCTTGCCTATATGTTTTGCACACTTCCACAAAAGCATCTGAGTGAAAAGTCACACCTTCAGACTTCAGGAAGATTCCTTAACAGTCTGGGCTTTCACTACCTGACTGCACAAGCCTCAAGGTCAGCCAGATAAGAGACTGTTGTCTTCTTTCTCAGGTCTTCACTGAGAATGGGTATATCCTTGTGAATCCACGGATTTCTAAGAATATTTCAGAGCTTTTCAAAATTCCCCATGTACTTGATCTTCTCCAGTACTTCCTTCTAAATTCACAATCTAGTTGGCTCCACCTGAGATCATATCTTTGGGAAACTGGAGATGTGACAGTAATTTGTATTGTTTTCCTAATGTCCTAAAGGTGGGCTTTTGTTATGTCCCTCACTAAGATGAGCTGTCACCCAAATCAAAAAGCCACCAAATTTGGAGACTAAAGAGTTCCCAGGGAGCCAAAATTGAAGAAAAAAAAATACAAGTATCCCAATGTTCATTGCAGCATTATTTACAATAGCTAGAACATGGAAGCAATCTAGATGTCCATCAACAGATGAATGGATAAAGAAGCTGTGGTACATATACACAGTGGAATATTACCCAGTTATGATAAGGAATGTATTTGAGTCAGTGCTAGTGAGGTGGATGAACCTAGAACTTAGTATACAGACTGAAATAAGTCAGAAAGAGAAAAGAAAAATCATATATTAACATGTGTACATGGACTCTAGAAAGATGGTACTGATTAACCTATTTTCAGGGCAGCAATGGCTTCCCAGAGTCCGCCTACCAACAAAGGAGACATGGGTTCTATCCCTGAGTCAGAAAGATCCCCTAGAGAAGGAAACTGCAACCCCCTCCAGTATTCTTGCCTTCTAAATCCCATGGACAGAGGAGCCTGGCAGGCTATAGTCCAGGGGAGCACGAACAGTCAGGCATGACTGAGTGACTAAACAGCAGCAGAGACACGGGTATAGA